TCATCGTGTTATCATTAATCACATCTAAGTCCAGATCTATTAAAATATGTTTATTTCGGTTACGAAGGCTGTAGTTCTCGTTCAAGTCATTCAATTCATGGGTGCGAGTAGTCTTTGGCCGACACTTGGGGAACAGCTTCTCAATCAATTGGTCGCTGATCTCATCACTCGTGTTGACATGAATGGTGTGATTGGTGTTTGAATTGATATTAATTGCATTGACTGTGAATTCATTCGCCATAATATCACATCTGAATTGATTTCAATATACATTACAATCAATTCATCCAAACCTAACACACAATCATTGCATTCATTGCAGTCATTGAGTCACTCATATGACCAGGATACAATCAATTGATTACAGTTACAGTAATGCCAATTCAGTCAATCCATTGCACATCACATGTTTTCCATCCAATCACCAAATAGTCATCAATTTGGAGATCAAATGTGAGAATTGGTTGTGTTTGCAGTGAACTGAATGCAAAACAATTAGCATTTAATTGCAATTAAAGTGAGCACTCATTGCAAACCAATAACAGTATTGTTGTGTTGTTTACACCAATTTGACAGTCAGTCTGAGTCTGACATTCACTTGCATTGAGTGAACACTCACTCATATATAGCATTCACTTTGACATACATTCAACACTCAGTTTTGATCGCTTAACTATTTATGAGAGCATACAGTCATATATTATATAATTTATGAATAAAATTCCACTCATACTTTAGCATTAAATAAAATAAAATATTTTTTATTAGTATGTGTAAACCTAAATTTATTTAATTTTCAAAAGTAAAATTCAATAAAGTTGCTTGATATACTGTAGACCATAATAAGTACCCCTTTTTGAATGCATTTATGAGAATGTAATAGAATTGTGTGGCACTGACTGCACCCCTCACCGCATGCATCGATTACTGCATATATGAGTGGTTTGCACACAATTGGCACCAAATAGAGTGCACTTTTCAATGCAATCATGTGTTGGATCTCTGTTTGTAATGAATATTAAAGTTTGAAAGGTTTAGCAAATTATTGATCACTTGTTTGTCTCATTTGTGGCATTCATTGCCCATTATATCACTAATCAATGTATTCTTCCAATGATAATAAGAAACACAAGAGATATGAGAAGATTGAGTTCTTAGGAGAGGGACAGGTATGGCATGAGATGATGGCAATGAGCGACATATGACTGATTTGGTTTGATTTGGTGATAGTTTGCCACCGTTTATAAGGCCAGAGACATCCAAACCGATGCCATCGTTGCCGTCAAAAAGGTTTGTCAAGTGCTAGACCTGTGCGAAGACATGGTGTTGATTGTGGTGAATGTACCGACAGATCAAATTGGGCACAAGAGCTGAGGCCAAGGATGGTATCAACAGAACTGCTTTGAGGGAAATAAAACTTCTTCAGGAGTTGTCTCATGAGAATGTGATTGGAGTACGACTTGAATCCATTGGTTTGCATTGAATCATGTAATCAGTGATTGTGTTGTCTATGTCTTAGCTGTTGGATGTGTTCGGCCATCGATCCAATGTTTCACTTGTGTTCGATTTTATGGAAACAGATCTCGAAGTGATAATCAAAGACACAAATATAGTGTTAACTCCGGCGCACATAAAGTCATACATTTTGATGACATTAGAAGGACTAGAGTTTCTTCACTTGAATTGGATTCTCCATCGAGTAATTCAATGATATATTCATTCGTTTCTATTGATTATAACTTTGAGAATATTTTTCAAGGATTTGAAACCAAATAATTTACTCATTGATGGAAATGGAGTCTTGAAAATAGGAGATTTTGGATTAGCCAAGGCTTTCGGATCTCCAAACAGACAGTACACGCATCAAGTGGTCACTCGATGGTATAGGGCTCCAGAACTGCTGTATGGCTCCAGAATGTATGGCACAGGAGTTGACATATGGGCCGTGGGCTGTATATTAGCGGAACTATTACTGCGAACACCATTCCTGCCCGGAATGAGTGATTTGGACCAATTGAGCAAAATAATGACCGCTTTGGGAACGCCTACTAAAACCTCGTGGCCGGTATTGTCCCACTTCTTAGAGTCTAATACTTGATATACTTATTGTACGGTATGTTTTTGTCTGGCACAGGATGTCACTGAATTACCCGATTATGTGGTCTTCAACTATCAACCGGGAACTCCTCTCAGAGAGATCTTCATTGCAGTCAAAGACGATTTAATAGATTTATTGTCACTAATGTTAGCATTGAATCCATTGAAACGATGCACTTGTGGACAGGGCTTACAAATGCCATATTTCAGTAACAGTCCCGCGCCTACTCCCAGCACACAATTACCTCGACCTCAAGCAAACGCCAACACATTTGACCCGGAGATGTATAAACCGTCTAATAAGCGGTCTCTTAATGGCGAGAAAATGGCGCCAATGGCTAAACGTCTCCATTTCGACAGCTCTGATGTTTAGCTGATTTTATTGTAATTAAAAATTATTTCATACTTTTATAGCTAATAAATAAATTATTGATTTTAAATTACTTCTTATATGGCGCTCAGTCTTTGACAGAATTAGTTTTAAATGATAATAAATAGTGTATTAAATTCGTTTAGTAAATGTAGACATTTTTGATAATTATGTAAATGAGAGTAGAAATAGTTTATTAATAGAACCATTAGTTAAATTGTAGAAAATAAATAGTGTATATAAATACTGTATATAATTTTTGTCAAAAGTTGATATAAATTACATAAAATTGATTATAAAAATAGTTTCAATAAATTCTAAATAAGTCTCTCTTCGGGCGGAGGTTTCAATATTTCAGAGGCAGAGTTGCCGAACATTTCTTGTGTGGACGGGGAGTATGTGCCGCGAGTGGCCCGCGCGTGCTTCACACTCCTCACGAATATCAGGGACACCACCAATAAAGCGATTATCAGAATACAGCCCATCGTTATTATCAAATAAAATATATAACTCATCGGCGATGAGGTCTACAATCATTGCAATTCAGTTAGATTTCAATCATTCAATTGACTCGAGAATGTCTCTACCTTTTCATCGCATATGAGTCCCGTATAGTCTTCAGGGCACTGGCAGTAGTAGCCGTCGTGTTCGTGGTTTATATGACAGGTGCCACCGTTGCGACACAGGTTAGCAATACTGCAGTCACTGATGGCATCACAATAAGCGTGGTTCGAGTGATGGTTCGGTAGACACGCGCAGATGTAGTCGTTCACGCAATGAGAGAAATCGTTGTGACATTCGGATTGACACGAACGGATCAGATGACACTTCTCGCCCGTGAACCCGATCGGACACTTGCACTCATAGGTCTCGTTCGTGTGCTTAATGCCTGAAATACACAAATTATTCACATTTTTGTCAAACCATTAACTCTTCGTCTGTTACTCACAAGTGGCTCCGTTTTCACAGGGATTCAGAACACATGGATCTGTCATATACTGACATATTTTGCCTATAAATGCATTTAAATTAGAAATCATATTAACTTTAATATACTTTGAATAGTGGTCTGAGTGTACCGTCAAATCCTGTTAAGCATAGACAGGAATAGGAGTTGATTTCATCAATACAGGAGCCGTTATTCATACAGGAGTGGTGTTCGCAGTCATTGATATTAAGCTCACAGTTGACGCCTTCAAACCCTGAGGGACACTGACATAAATATCCGGCCATTTGTGAGAAATTCAAGTATTGGTCGCGAATAAGACTTTCGGAGAACTTATTGATTAAGTGTTGATGACTTTTCTCATAACATGTGCCACCGTTAAGACACGGAGAGGAACTGCATTCGTCGATATCGATCTCACAGTGTCTTCCAGTGAATCCCTTAAAGCAATGACACGTATAGTTGAGGACAATGTCTTCACACATTTTGGCGCCTTTACTGCACGGATCGCTCAGACATTCGTTGATATTTGTCTCGCAATTTCTACCTTCAAATCCCGTGTGATTACAATTGCATTCAAAGTCATTGATTAAGTCTATACAATGTCCACCATTAAGACATGGATTCATTGAACACTCATTGATATCAATTTCACATCTGTTTCCTTCAAAGCCATCGACACACTGACACCGGAATGAACCGATTTGGTCGACACATGTGGCCCCGTTCTGGCACGGGTTGGACAGGCATTCATTGATGTCGTTCTGGCAGTGGTTGCCCTCAAAGCCATGCGGACATTCGCATGAGAAGTGGGCGATCAGGTTATGACATTTGCCACCATTGAGACAGGGCTGAGGGGCGCACTCATCGATATCCTTATCACATCTCTGGCCATCGAATCCTTGCGAACAATTGCATTGAAACCCTCCGATCAGGTCGTGACAAATGGCTCCGTTTTGGCACGGATTGGATGCGCACTCATTGATGTCCACCTGACACTGGTCACCACTGTAGCCAACGGGACAGTCGCATGTAAACTTTGCTTGCTTATTATGACATGTGCCACCGTTAAGACACGGGTGCGACAAGCATTCATCGATGTCTATGTGACACCTGTGGCCAGTGAACCCTGGAGTGCAGTAGCACTGGAAGGCACCGACCAGATCGCGACAAATCCCGTTAACGCATGGATTATCAGCGCATTCGTCGATATCTATCTCACAATTAGTACCCGAATAGCCGGTCTCACAGACACACAAATATGTCTTTGTAGTGGAACTACAGTTCCCATTATGAACACATGGACTCGAGGCGCAGTGGTCTATGTTTCGCTCGCAGTTGTCTCCCTCCCAGCCCTCTGGACAGACACACTCGTAATTATTCACTTTGTCGATACAGATGTGCCCGATAGGACAGACCACTTGAGAGCACTCATCGATGTCAACCTCGCAATTCAGTCCTAAACCGTACATAATTAGACTCATTATAACAATGCATTCAAATGTCAATTAATGAGTGACTGACCTGTAAATCCTGGCGGACACGTACACGCGTATAGCGGTGATGGAATTTGCGTAGTACAGGTGCCGTTGTTAGCACAGGGACTGCTCTCACAGGCGTTATAAAGTTGTTCACACGTGAGACCAGTATATTGTGCGGAACAGATGCACGTGAAGTTGTTGGGCAGGTCATGACATGTGCCTCCATTGGCACACGGATTGGTCGGCAAACAGTCATTGATATCTATTTCACAGCTCTGACCTGCAATCCAATGCAATACAATTAGTTTTATGAGTATTGGATGACCACAACTACTCTCAAGTATATGACATCAAAGTCTGTCCACAGTATTCACTAACGACTACAAGATTATAGAATGTATTTCTAAAGCATACCTTCAAAACCTTGTGAACAAATGCAGGAATAATTAGCTGAAGTCTCATTCATAAGACAAGTGCCACCGTTAAGACACGGCTGGCCATCACAAAGAGATTCTTGGAATTGACAAAAATGACCCGAAAATCCTTGCAAACAAAACAGATGTCATTACCAAGTGATTAGTGATTACTATTAGTGAGAATACCATTAATACAACTGCAGACTCCGTCCAGACATTGGCCTCCATTCTGACAATCGTTATTATGTTTGCAATTGTTGTCAAAGAGTTGGCAATTGATTCCATGGAACCCCTGCTCACACTCACAGCTATAGCTCGCACTCGAGCTATCATTAGTGTTAGAAGAAGGCCACGGATGACATAAACCATTGTTGAGACATGGATTGGAATCACATCCACTCAATGGCTTACAGTGAGGGGGAAGTCCTGCAAAAGTGATGCCCGCGTGAGATGTGGTGACAATGAAACCATTAAAGCATTAGATTGAGTGATATTTACCGGAATATAAATGATCGCAAAGACAGGTCAGTCGCGAAGAGCAGTGGGAATGTATGGGACAGTCGTTGTCTGTGCGACAGGAGGTGTGGCTCTCAGTGGTTGTGGTGACTGAGGAAGGCGTGAGGAATACTGTTCTCGGAGTGGCGGCCGTCGACACGAACCGTACGATAGGCTCTAATCGGGGACTCCTTGTGGTGTCGGTCAAGACATTTGTTACGGAATTATTGGTTGAGATAATCAGTGGTTTAGTATGCGATTGGGTTTGCGTTTGGGTTAACACAACCCATTGGACGGCATTTAATATCACAAATGTGTAAATGTATTGCATGTCTAACAGTCCTTCACATCATTTATCCATTTTATATATCACGACAACTGTGCGAACATATCAAATACACGACTAATGGTTTGGGTTTATGTATAATACATGCAAATCAATGCAAAACATAATCAAATGAATAAACAAAACATAACATTCAAATTCATTTTATATATCACTCCAACTGTGCGAACATATCAAATACACGACTAATGGTTTGGGTTTATGTATAATACATGCAAATCAATGCAAAACATAATCAAATGAATAAACAAAACATAACATTCAAATCAAAACAAATATTAAGAAACCATTCACTCATTCATTCATTCATTCATTCAATGCATTCCAGACATTGTCTCAAATGAGTTCACTTTCACACACACTTCGACCTCTTGCGTCGAAACCCTGTACTCACTGACAGTAATACGTTATGATACAGTAATAGTGACTAATATAACACATGGAAATACTCTCACCATTTGTGTTATATGAATGAGTCATAGCTTACACTGACTTTGATCTTACATTTGGCACATTACAGGGATTAATGCCCACACGAGTGGGAGTTTCGACAGAGGGTTTGAGAGCGTGAGCACACATATGAGACAAACAGTGGTTTCCAATTGATTTGTAATCATATTATGAATACAGTCTTACTGTTACTGTATTTGTATTACTCATCCATTTGTTGCCATTTCAGTGCGAATTGATTTGAATTGCATTCACTTGTCATCGAAACTATCATTCATTAGTAGTATTGAGTGAATTGATTGCCAACTGTTCAACACATTGTCATCAAATAGTAGGTGAATATAAGTGAGTGAATGGTGTGTGAATATGACCCAGCTAATTGTTTGGTTTGGTTTGGTTAGGAATATCTTAGGTGTGGATGATGTCTGGCTTCTTAAAGTTATTCGGAGGGAAAGGCGGGTCGAAACAGGCGGCGCCCACACCCGCCGAAGCCATTCAGAAGTGAGTGCACTCTCTGCTCAGCCATTGTATTCATCGTATGATTGTTTGCGTATAGACTGCGAGAAGTGGAGGAAATGCTTCATAAGAAACAGGAATACCTCGAGAAGAAGCAGAACGAAGAGTTAGATGTGATCCGAAAGAATTCACATTACAGGGATTAATGCCCACACGAGTGGGAGTTTCGACAGAGGGTTTGAGAGCGTGAGCACACATATGAGACAAACAGTGGTTTCCAATTGATTTGTAATCATATTATGAATACAGTCTTACTATTACTGTATTTGTATTACTCATCCATTTGTTGCCATTTCAGTGCGAATTGATTTGAATTGCATTCACTTGTCATCCAAACTATCATTCATTAGTAGTATTGAGTGAATTGATTGCCAACTGTTGAACACATTGTCATCAAATATACGGTGAATATAAGTGAGTGAATGGTGTGTGAATATGACCCAGCTAATTGTTTGGTTTGGTTAGGAATATCTTAGGTGTCGACGATGTCTGGCTTCTTAAAGTTATTCGGAGGGAAAGGCGGGTCGAAACAGGCGGCGCCCACACCCGCCGAAGCCATTCAGAAGTGAGTCCACTCTCTCCTCAGCCATTGTATTCATCGTATGATTGTTTGCGTATAGACTGCGAGAAGTGGAGGAAATGCTTCATAAGAAACAGGAATACCTCGAGAAGAAGCAGAACGAAGAGTTAGATGTGATCCGAAAGAATTCTCAGCCATTGTATTCATCGTATGATTGTTTGCGTATAGACTGCGAGAAGTGGAGGAAATGCTTCATAAGAAACAGGAATACCTCGAGAAGAAGCAGAACGAAGAGTTAGATGTGATCCGAAAGAATGGCACCAAAAATAAAAGAGTGAGTCTTCAGGCACTCAAACGTAAGAAGAGAATCGATAAACAATTGGAACAAATCGACGGTTAGTTGAGGACACATGTGATGGTTGAGAGACACATGTGATGGTTGTGTGGGATGTGTCTAATGTGGTGATGATGTGATTGTAGGGACGCTCACAACCATTGAGTATCAACGCGAGGCCCTCGAGAACGCCAACACCAACACTGAAGTGCTTAAGATTATGGGTCACGCGGCCAAAGCTCTTAAGCAAACGCATAACAACATGGATATCGATAAGGTTACCATTGCTGTGATATTTGTTGGCGCACTTGTAGTCACATGTGTTGTGTGTTTAGGTGGAAGACCTGATGGACGAAGTGAGGGAACAGCAACAGATCGCAGAGGAGATCAGTCAAGTGATCTCTAATCCCATTGGTTTCGGTCAGGAGGTCGATGAGGACGACTTACTTAAGGTAAGCATTTGTTTAGGTTTTAATGGAAATGTTTGTCACGTGAATACCGATTGAATGGTTTGAATGGTTGACAGGAGTTGGAAGAGATGGAACAGGAAGAGCTCGACAAACAACTGTTGGACACAACACCCGAACACCTGCCAGAAGTGCCCGCAGAAGTGCCGGTGGCGGCGCCCCGTATGTCATACATCTGTTTGATTGAGTCTACGATACAGTGATTATAATAGAAATGAATTCATTTTTAGGTACAAAAGCAAAAGAAAAGGAAGAGTCGGATGAGTTGAAAGAGTTGGCCGAATGGGCTAATTAGACATCACTTATATTATAAGATATTATATATACAGTAAATATTAAATTTATAATTATAATTGTAACTTAAAAACAAATAGTTTTATTGATTTAATTGAATTTAATGTTAAGACAATTATAAAAGTATTTTCAAAATAACATCAATTTCTAAGTAATATTTTGCACAGAAGTGAAATCAAATTTATTTACAAATGTGTGTCAACTGGACTCAGAACTCTTGAATGAGTTGTAATATTCTCTGTTTGTGGTGTTCATCCCTTTCATTGGCAAAGTTTTTCATAATATTCTTAATAAACTTGTAGTGATTGACAGAACTAACGGCGTGTAAATTAATTAATCGCATAACTCGTGATTTGATGCTCTCTTTGGAGCTCTGGTCGTCCTTTTCGGTGGCATTGGCTTCCATGTAGTCGTCATATAGCGAACATATGACAAGAATTATGTGATCAATCATCTGAAGAGTGAATAGTCCGCCATCAGTGAGGCGTCTCATGAAGAACTGGTCCTCATCTATGGTCTCATCGTTGATGAGTTTGAGTGCTCTCTCTTTTTTGATGAGTGAATCACATTTGATAAGTCTTTCAGAATATTTGAAATGCAATTCAATGAGTCGATCGGTCTTTTCAAAGTCAGATTCACTGAATTTGAACAAAACACGACGTTTTAGTTCACTTCGCGTGTTGTTCAGTAGCGCTAGAATTATGGACAGACAGTGCTCTTCGACCTCATCCACAGAAGTGGTCTCTTTCTTGTGGCCGATAATGGAATTTGGTTTCATAAACACAGGCATTAAAATACGTAAACCAAGGATTTCGACAAATTTATTACAACACGAGTCCACCATTTGGTCGCCATTCTTGTCAGAACTCATGCTATGGTTAATCACTTTGAGAGAACCGATTCTCACCGAAGATGTCGACCCTTTCTTGCGCTTCTCTCGCAATATTAAATTCATGAGTTCTATGCCCTCGCCCTTCAGGAAGAGCTCACGATTTGATGGACAGCACAAGAGCGCAGAACACAAACAATTGAATAGATTTTCCATATATTCGTGTTCATCACTGGACGACGGGTCATGTCTTTTGTAGTACTGAACCATTGATAAGATATTTAAAGAGTTAAACAAAACATTTCTAGACAGACAATACATACAGAGATGACTCGGAGCAAAGTGTCGACGCCATCGGAATCGCTCAACAGTTTCTTGTTGTCGTCATTGCTTTGAAGTAAAATGGATAGGATTTCTGAAGCATAGAGTTTATTGCCATCAAACGATGGCTTAGCTTTCAATCGTTTCATAATCCAAGTGATCAGAGGCTGGCAGTCGTTGAGGTTTGGCTTAAAATCAGTTAAATTCTCGATAATTGCTATAAAAATGAGAACATTTCTGTCAATTCTGGAGACAAATCAAAGTGAATATTGTGGTTGAAATGAATGGTAAAAACCTAATGAATTGTAAACCCCTTCCGCCTCTTCTTTCACGGTTTCATCCAATCTCTCCATATTTGTCACCAAAAGAGCGATCACTTGACCGCCGATTAGCGCTTCCAACAACAGACTCACGTCATCGAGTTCTTGGATGTCATCCAAATCTGTCAGTTCCTGTAGGAGAGCGACGACAGCGCACGAGATATCTGTGTTCTCGTGAGACAGAAGTCCCAGAAGTGTTGAGATTATATTGAGATCAACCATAATGTGGTAGAGTTCTGGTTGAGTGCTCAAGACATGCATCTCTTGGATTGTGTCGAATAACTCCATCTCCGAGTCCATGAATTTCGTGGGATTGTCACCGAATTTGATCCGCAATTCTTGATTCTTAAGCACTTTTCGTTCAAACAGCAGGAGAAGGCGCTTGAGAGCCGTTTCATCCACTTCTGCGTCCACGGCATCTGTGGTCACATCCGACTCATCCAACTCTGCGCCCATTATTCTTCTCTTTTTGGCGGCACTCTCGTGCTGGTCATCACTGCCATCATCTGACTGTGAGGTCTTGTAACTCAACAACTCGTTCACATCCATTACCACCCTATGAACTGACGACAACTTCCAATGACTTCCAACTTCTTGTGACAATTCATTGAAATCACGATTCAGTCGTTGTTTTCATACGAAACGCGTTGGGATTCAAGTGAAGGGCTGTTCACAAAACCAGTCACTCAAGGGGTCACACGTGAGACCCAAAGGTGAACGAATGGCAGACTCACTCGTAGTCTACTATAGTCTACTCATAGACTATCATAGACTGTATTGAGTGAATACTGTATCATTGAATGCAATGCAATGCTCCACACAATGCATTCCCAGTCTGTGTGTGACATAAGCGGTGAACACCTCTACTCTCAAAATGAATCCCAATTCTCAGACTGAATGAGTGAACTGTGAATTGTGTTGATATATGGATGAGATGTTGACGTCTGATGACACTTACGGTCCACTCGTTTGAGGCACTCATCACTCATTCAATGTTCACATGATTTACTAATTATTGTCAAACGTCGCGATTATCACATTGTATGCGAAATGTCTTTAATCAATAACAACGACAATCAGAGCTGTTATATGGCTCTCATGTCGATGGCAGAGGAGTTCCGCACACAAACGCCTCCAGACATGAGGTCTTGTGTCCAGTGTCTGTTGGCATCACTCAATGTGTCCACACATCCGGCAATTGAAGCCAAAACTCACTTACATTTGGGAAACATTTTGCTTCACTTCACCACTAATTTGGATAAAAGTCAGTCACATCTGGAGAAAGCGGTCAGTTGTCACTCATTTACTCTCATTTGCTGTCATTTGCTAAATACTCACTCATTGTCTCATGATTTGTCGCATTCAGTGGTATTTATCGCAATCAGTGCCCAATTGCGAGGAATTGATGTTAGAATCGGCTTCTCTTCTGGCAATGGTTTACGAGAAGAAGGTTTGTTGCCATCAATTGAGACCAACTCTGAGCCAAACACTTACACTAATGTTAACCCAATATATCGTCTCCAGAATGAGATCCAAATGTCGAAACAGATTCTCACGAAAGCTATTGAAGAGTCTCAGCACTGGATCTTTTGGCACTCGAGACTGCTCTTCCAATTGGCTGTAAGTGTGCTCTCATTATCACCACAATTATAGTACAAGACATTGAATCATATTTAAAATGATCACAAACTGTATGAACAGTACAAGTAATTTGATTATTTGAGTTCACATTCGTGGTCATAGCCGACGAGAGCCGTAGTTCTGTAGCCCAGACAATATTTGTACTGTAACTTGCTGCTTTACTCATTTCCGTTAAGTATACGCGGAATGTTGCTATACTGTACTGTATTGTGTAAATTATGGCCTATTTTGAATGCATTTTAGCACACTCAATTTACTTTTTGCATGAATTCCCCAAATACTGTACAGTATTACCGTATGTTTATTACCGTATTACAAAATAGCTTGTAAATAAAACTTGTGCTCAACATTTTATTACAACATTGAGCATCAATTTACTTTGTGTCCAAAATCACTATTCTCAATTATCCTGGACATTCAGTTTATACAATTCTCTAATTATATAACCCATTCGTGACCTACTGTATAACGGTTATAGGGCACCACATATTGAATAATACTTGTAAATAAATTACCGGTATATTGTGGTATATTTCATATGAAGTGATTATTAAGACTGCAAAGATTATAACATAGATTATTACAAAGTGGTTGCAGTGGTTTGGCAAAAATTGTGGTTTACAGTATTTGTAATGAAATGAGTTTATTTGGATTGACATTAACATTGATGTGCTTTATTTGAAATGTGCAGCAAATCCATGCAAATGAAAAGGAGTATCTGTTGGCATCTAATATATTGAGTATAGGCGCCGATTACGCCAATATGTCAGGCGCTCACTACACGAGGATATTATTCCTATTAAGTAAAGGAATGACTTTAATGATAGACCGACGGCTCACTGAAGTACACCCAGTGCTGAGTCTCGCGGGACAGTTAGTGGAGACCTGGAATGGAAATCTCCAAATGAAAGAAGCGCTTAAAGTATACTTTCTTGTGCTTCAAGTTTGCCATCATTTGAATGCCGGACAAGTAAACCGTTTGAAACCATTACTATATTTTGGAGATTATCTAATGGATGTCAATATACTGTACTTATAGGTAAAGAGTGTTAAGCCGTGTTTAAAACTTTTACAACAAAGCATTCAAAGCATAACCGCTTATCACAGCGAAGACGGTATGATTTATATATAGAATATCATTGAATACCAAATTTGATTGATTTCAATGGTTTCATAATTAGATTACGTGAACGTTAACCCCAACGACATGTTCATATGGATGCCCAGAGAGCACATGTGTGTTCTCGTATATCTGGTCTGTTGTCAACACTCGTTGAGCTTTAATTGTTGTTATATTTGGTGTGATGTTTATTATAGGTAACAGTACTTCACTCAATGCAAGCCGGGTATATGGATAAGGCACAGAAGTACACCGAAAAGGCACTCATGCAAATCGATAAGCTTAAGGGTAAGACATGCACAATACCAGGGTTGCACTGATTTTATTTAATTTTCATTTGATGACTGGTCACAGCTGTAGGCAATCACCCGATGCTCAACACTTTCCAATTGCTTCTATTGGAACACATAGCTATGTGTCGGCTCGTTATGGGCAACAGAACTCTTGCCATCAAAGAGGTTATTGTTTATATAAATTGTGTCTGGACATTATGAGCATTTATGGACATTATGAACATTTATGAACTTTTATAAACATTTTTTATCGCATTACTTACTTACAGACAGTACAAGCACTTCAGATCTGTTATGGCGATCCAAAGCTTAAGATAAGACACAAACCATTAATTCACGCCTTATTGGGAATGTATGCCATGTCTATGAATCTGATGGATGCCGCCGAAGCACAATTGGCCACTGCTTTGAGAGTAAACCATTGTATATATGACTGAAGTTTGCAATTAATTTATATTGTGTTTAAATTTGAAACCAGACGCCCAGTGCGTGCACTGAACTCCGAGTTATGACATCTTTGAACTTAGCTATCGTTTACTTAAGAAACAAAAGGGAGAAAGAATTGAATGACTTATTGGCAAAATTGAATCCCGAAACCCTTCCCTCAGTGTATGTATTGTTAGAGATGTTGTCAACAAATACAAGCAATTAATTGATATTCTGGTGAATAGATCTCAAAGTTTAAAAGCGGCCGCTTTTTATGTGCTCGGATTGAACTCATTCTTTCAGTCCCGATATAACGACGCTAAGTATGTCTTACTCTTAATTGCCTATCAATTGGCGATTCACTTAAAATCTTGTCCTCTATTTTAGACGATATCTGAGGGAAACCCTAAAGATGGCGAACGGAGAGGACTTGAATCGATTGACTTCGTGTTCACTCGTTCTTTTGGGACATATATTCTATTCTTCAGGGAACAGGTATGTCTGCACACGTGACGCCTTGTTTAAGTATACAGTATTAGAATATTATTAATTATTGAATAGCCGGGAGAGTATGAACATGGTGACCCCCGCCATGCAGTTGGCCAGTAAGATACCAGACATTCACGTCCAGCTCTGGGCTACTGCTCTACTTAAAGGTATAGTATGATTGGACATTGTTTTGCTTATTTGTTAACTATATTTAAATTGGTAGACCTTTACGGACAGTTCGGTGAACAGAGCCGTCAACAGGAGGCCATTCAAATGCATCACAGCTTTTCCCAAATGCTTATCAACGACCACTACCAGGCCTCACAACTACCCGAACATAACTATATTCACGTACGTATAGCTTATAGAGTAAATGAATAGATTGTTCACTAACTATCTGTTTATTACATCCAGTGGTTTGATAGTCCTGACGCTGAATAGACTTAATATATTTGTTTCATTTATTGACTTCAGACTCATTTCAAGGGATTTATAACATGTATTTAACACATCTGTAAAATATAAACATTTTATTGTTTTTTCTAATTGAGGGAAACCCTAAAGATGGCGAACGGAGAGGACTTGAATCGATTGACTTCGTGTTCACTCGTTCTTTTGGGACATATATTCTATTCTTCAGGGAACAGGTATGTCTGCACACGTGACGCCTTGTTTGAGTATACAGTATTACAAAATTATTAATTATTGAATAGCCGGGAGAGTATGAACATGGTGACCCCCGCCATGCAGTTGGCCAGTAAGATACCAGACATTCACGTCCAGCTCTGGGCTACAGCTCTACTTAAAGGTATAGATTGATTGGACATTGTTTTGTTTATTTGTTAACTATATTTAAATTGGTAGACCTTTACGGACAGTTCGGTGAATCGAGCCGTCAACAGGAGGCCATTCAAATGCATCACAGCTTTTCCCAAATGCTTATCAATGACCACTACCAGGCCTCACAACTACCCGAACATAACTATATTCACGTACGTATAGCTTATAGAGTAAAATGAATGGATTGTTCACTAAATATCTGTTTATTACATCCAGTGGTTCGATAGTCCTGACGCTGAATAGACTTAATATATTTGTTTCATTTATTGACTTCAGACTCATTTCAAGGGATTTATAACATGTATTTAACACATCTGTAAAATATAAACATTTTATTGTTTTTTCTAATATATAAACTCCTAAATATTTAATGTATAGAAAATCCAATTAAATCTAAAAATGATTGAACAATAAAATAAATTATTACATTTATCACTACGAGAACAATGGAGTGATAGTGAATGGGAACACCTGTCAGAGGGTTGGAATCGCTATGGAGATGCGATTGTGAGTTTGCACCGGATTAGTGCAGTTTCCCAATGGTTAGGTGGAGCTCAGACTCTGAATGCAATCATATTCTGAATGCAATATTCTTGTCGACTATACTCTATGTGTGATTCATAGCTTCCATAACTGATCCACAATTGTATTCAATTCCGTTATCATTAAAATTGACACTAAAATGACATCATATCTAAGACTTGTCTTTGATAACGGATTTGATTATATTCTTTCAATTATATTCTTGAGTGTTGTGTTCAATATGTAATTAATGGTGAGAATGTAATCAATGGTAGAAAGCAATTGTAATTATCATCACCTTATCTGATAAGACATTGAACTTTGAGACCAATATGTCTTTACTTTGTGTGACCGTCAGAAGAGCCCAACTCATAGGAACGGACAGTAAGTCTCGTGTGAATGTAATTCTATGTTTAAGAATAATGTCATTGAATCTAATTGTGATGTCTTCTAATGTCAGCCCAATTCAACTCCTATGTGACACTTAAGCTCCAAAATGTCAAGTCAACCACAGTTACGGTTAAGGGTTGTCATCCCAATTGGGAACAAGACTTTATGTTTGAGACCAATCGCATGGATACGGGTCTTATCATAGAGCTGTGGAATAAAGGCTTATTATGGGATAAATTGATTGGAAACCATTGGATGCCTTTAATGGGTATCCAATTTGCCACAGATGTTGGAGAGGGACAGTGGCTGACGTTGGATGCGGAACTGGAGCTCATTAATGGCGAGGTCTGCGGGACACACACTCCGACCGGACATATGATGCTATTGGAGGCCCATTTCGAGCCGCCGTATGAGATGCAGATCGACGACGTGGGAGAGTTCAGTCGGAAACTGCAATACTTGAACACATATATGGAGCAGGAAATGGTGGCCTGGAATCAGGAACAGAGGACACGATATAATCATACAAATCAGTTGTATTCCGGTCTCTCTGAAGATAGTGATTACACGAGTGATGTTAGTTATCCAATACAACAGCCATACATCTCATCACACCATCCAAACAGCTCGACCTCGCATTTCGGTGGTGTTTCTCATCTCAAGAATAATACGTTTGATACCATGGATTCAACTCGTTTTGAGAGCTTCTCTCAAGAGGAACCATTGGAGTATCAAAATGAGTCCTCATTTGACACAAACCCAAACCAAAGTCATAATTATTATTCCAATAATTCCAATAAATTCCAGAATTCCTATAATGAAGAATGTGAACCCCTTTCCTATAATAGTCGGCCCCCGAGGCGGGCATTGCCTCAAATCAGTGATAAGCCGGTTCGCAATTTACCAAATATTGATAAATTAAATACAAACCCTGATTATATTCAAAGTACTCATAACTTTGCAAACAACCAAATGAATAACGAGTTGCAAAACACTCAATACTATAATCAGATGGAATACCAGAACATGAATGATGGACAGCCAGCACAACCAGACCCTCCAACCTCACGACTGGCGCAGCGCCGACAGTGTATACGCAAACCAAGCCTCGAAAGACAGGGATGTTTTGAACACTTTGATGAGAATTATGAGTCAGACCATCAAAAACATGTTAACAAATACGAAGGTTTTTATAATACAAGTACTGAATTGAATGATCAGTACTATAGTGTTGACGAGTCATTCAGAGCAGACAGTTATGAAAGTTATGCCAATAGTTTAGAACCTGATGTTCAGGAGGAAAGTGATGTGAACTTAGGAACAAATTATAATCAATTCAATAACTCTACTCAACTCTTACAACGAAACCCCGATTCAAGTGCCGGTCCTATCAATTGGAACAACGAATCTATTGATAATCATTTCCAACCGAATGAGACTCAATGGACGCGAAAGAACTCCGACAAGAAGAAGGAGCAGTGGAAGAGTTCAGCGCAAACCGAGTCAACCATTTGGCAGACAGTCTCCGAAGACGACCACTTCGACGGCTCCCTTCCCAATGTGATTGAGAAACAGTCGCCGCCGCAGTTCTTCACTCCTAAGTCTAGTATTGACCAAAGCGTTGATCCCTTAATTGATCGGAGAGACAGTTTGGGTCGTCAGAGCACTGACGAGACTATTCCGGCCGACGAGATGAGCGACTTTATGCCAGGACTGCCACCTTTGACTACCGGTCCCTCACAACCACAACACAGTGCCATCAAAAGTGAGAGCAAGCCTTCGGGTGAACCCAAAACTGTTACCTTCAGTGATGACATTCCCACGAAAAGTCCACCAAAAGCCGAGATACCAGTCCCTTCTATGATGACTTCGATGATGACTTCAAGTTTGACGACAAGCCTTTCTAGCAGTAATAATCCAGAGGGTCTGTCCCGCGCACGGGTTCGCTGGATTGCAGCCTTCAATAAAATAACGTCTGATTTCTCTGAGGTTTGGCTTTTAGTATTGATTTACATTTATTCAAAATCCATTAAACAATTAAAATATCTAACAATTTATGCTAAATTCTATATAATCAATATAAGCAAAATTATTCAACAATTTTATGCATTCAACATTCAGTAAATGCTGAACAACTCTAGTAACTTATCAACAGAATTGTTTATATTTCTAAATATTTCTAAACATTTCAAAAGTGAAAGATTCAGATGTTTTCACTAGACATCAAAGTTTTATCATAAATACAAATGATAAAACATATTCTATGTTTTACAATCACTACATATTATAATGTTATATTTCAAAATAAATTATATTTTCATTATAATCAAACAACTAAGATTTGAAATTATAAACACTAAAATTTGTTTTCAAAATAATTAATATTCATAACTTTGAAACTCATTACAGTATTGAATCTAAAACTCATAAAATAATATTCAAAATCAGAATTCTATGAAAAATATTGGTACCGGTACTTAAAATAACAAGCAACTGATTTATGTTTGATTAACGATTTGAATGCGAATGAATACTATAGTAGACTTGATAAATGAATCTCTTGCCTAATAAATAAATATTTATACATAATATGTTTTCAGTAAATATTAATTTTTAATATTTTTGATAAACTCATATTTAAAATTATTGATTTATATTTGATCTCTAGTACCATAAATTTATATATTATAAAATAAATATTTGAAAAAATATTGCTTTTAATATGAATAATGAAAACAATTATTTTATTTGTTTTATACTTTTATCGTTACAGTATAATATACAGTACAGTATACTGAGTATATGCATTTGAGTATTTAATATGATATTTTCACTTCGTTAGTATAGTATTTATTGCCCCTATTTGTCAACAAATAAATTTTTATATAATATATTTAATCTTATTAGGAAATAGCGTTTAAAAAGCACTTCACTTATAAGCACTTTCTATGTAATAAATTCATTAATTTTCAATAAATTCTATAATTCTTAGACAATAAAAACTATACAATGTTGAAGTTTATACTGTATTTATGTAGTTATACAAAAGTCATTTTTCATAGTTATGGAGCCATATATTTTTAAGAAAAGTGATTTATTATTTTATATATTAATAATACAAAATTTCTAAAATATCAAAATGTTACTTTGAATTTTTATGAATAAAAATAATTAAATATCTTTAATAAATCACATACAGCATATAGTACTGTAGTTATAAGTTCATTTTACTTTGATCTAAAACTAATGTGATAGTTGACTTTTTTCAAAAAATAATATAAAATTTAATTAGTGTAAGAATAAAAGAAATTTTTAAATTTTAAAAGTTAATTTAACTAAATTCTTAAATTAATAGTAATCTTATATAAGAAAATTTAATCTCTCTCTCTCTCTCTCTCTCTCTCACACACACACACACATACATACACACGCAAATTAGATAGAATGTTAGATAAATTTAAAAAATCAAAATATGTTTATAACATTTATTATAAATATTTTTTTACAAAATTTTGCTATAAATACAAAAATTCTAAGTATTTTAATTTAGAAAGTACCAAATTTACTTTTATTGCATATTTTAAATATTTGGTTTTAAAGTAAGAATTTTTATTTTTAAGAGAGTTATTTAGATGATTATTAAACAGCACAAAAATTATCAAATTATTAGATTAAGAAATTTAATATGAAAAATATCTTGAGTATAATATTTTTAGTTTAATAGCAATATTTCAAAAATAGTCATTTGTTTTTCTTTGATTAATATTTCATATTCTATATTATAAGTTATATATATAACTTATATTGTATTGTGTTTATATATATATTGCTATATCTAATGGTCTAGAAATGGAAAATTCTTATTTGTTATTTAGCTCTTAATACATATTTTTGAAATCGGATCACTATTTGCGATGATATCATACTTAGAAA